AAACCATTACAGAGCCACCATTGTAGCTAGGCCTCTCACTTACAGTACAGTCTGCAAATCGTTCTCCAACGCGACGGTATACTCGTTCTCGTCCGTCTGAAGAATACAGACAAAAACGAGATTCGTCGCTAAAAAGAACGGTACTCCATTCTGCATATGTCCAGCCTGCATGCTCGACAGCAAAATTGAGTCGAGTTACGCGATGGCGACGCATAAGCGAAGGTACATTTGCTGGCCTGCGCGGAAAAAGACCGTGTTCCGCTAATCTGTTTCGAATAGTGTCAACGGATACATTACATTCGCGGACATCTCTTAAATTGTTTCGAATTTGAACAGCCGTTCGATGTCTGTCTCTTAATGAATTTAAAACAATAAATCGGTCATCGTTTTCATTCGTACAACGAGGACGTCCCGAACCAGGTCTTCTTTGGACAGAATTAGTCTCCAAGTACCTAGCATAAGCACGTTGCACGGTTGACACTGATAAATCAAGTGCCTCAGCAACGTACCTTCGACTTCTCCCATCTTCAATTAACGCTACAACTTGAGCAGCTTTTTCAGGACTTATCGTCGCCATAATTGACCAATAATTTCAATGCGAAAAGATTAATTATTGTTTACTTTGACGAAGTCGTACGAATAAGTAACGCGTCTCGAAAGAAAAAGATCAAGAGAAATCAAGCACTCTTCTCGCAATGTGCGGCCGAGCATAAACAAAAAGTCAGGGCGGAGAAATCACAAAAGATCTGCAGACATCTCCTTCGGATGCAAAACAATTGATTGAAAAATAATGGTTCGAGTTTGCGACGGTGCACGGTATAAACAAAAAATTGTAGCTTATTGGGATCAAAAGCGTACGAAAGTACAGAGTCTCCTCTTTAAAATGCTTTTTTATGCATCTCGATACGATGATTTTTCGCTGAGAGATTCGCATTTGAAGTAAGAATCTGCCTTTTTCTTCAAATGCGAATCTCTCGGCGAAAAATCATCGTATCGAGATGCATAACAAAGCATTTTAAAGAGGAGACTCTGTACTTTCGTACGCTTTTGATCCCAATAAGCTACAATTTTTTGTTTATACCGTGCACCGTCGCAAACTCGAACCATTATTTTTCAATTTTGCATGCTCGCGCTTTGTCATCCGCCATTTTTCAATAAATTTATTTTGCAACATTGAAATAAATTGATTCTTAAAGTAGAGATTTTTAGCTTCATTTCCATATTTTATAGAACTTTCTATCTTTATTATTTACGAAGTTATCGTCAGTTGAAATTTGATGAATTTTTCCCACATTTTCAGTGTACCGCTTTTTTTTCGAGTGAGTGTATAAACGCAGTTCTAAACTTTATTGCAAAACTTTTAAATTTTCTCAGAAAGATATTACTCTTTTATAGACATTATTTATATTATTTATCACAATTTTATGCTAATGATTTTGTCCTTTGAGAAATAACGTCTAGCATTTCAAAGATTTTTCCATTAATTCAACGTTAATTGCAAAATAAATCGACTGTTTACCCTTCAGAGATTTCGCGATTACATTCGCGCAACATCGCTATTTCACGCGACAAATCGATCCGTCGCAGAAGACGAGATCAATCGCCCGACTGTTTCGCGAGGCCGCTGCGCTTTTCGCGGGGAGAACCTTTAATCGTCGCCGTGAAATAGCGCGGATAAACAGCGAGCGATAACAATCGATCTCCCGCGAGAGCGCTGCGCATTTCGAAGGAGCGATTTTTCAGTCATTATTATCATTATACGGGGGCCGATGCGGCCTTTACGACGGTGACGTCACCGTCTGACAATTTGAACGCTCTTCCGAAACTGAAAACCAGTTTCCCGCTGCGCGCGCGACCTCCGTATGCGCTCTCGCCTCTAGGCGCATTGGTTGCATCGCGCGCGCTGCACCAACGGCAGGCCGTTCGGCAAACCGTCGCCTCTTAACGCGTGCTACACGCGAGAACGAGCGCCCGAGATCGTAAATTCACTATAAATTCCGCACGTTGTTGGCCGGCACGGCCGTAAATTGTCGAACGTCCGCGATATGTATATACATACGCGCGGAACTTATGATAAATCGCGCTTAACTTCCCGCCGGCTACAGCGATGCAATCGATATAATTTCAGGGAGATACGCGGGAGAAAGAGAGCTGGTCAAGCTAGTAGATTTGCGCGGTTCAAAGATCGATATTCTAAATAAATATGAACTCGAACTCTCGTGTGCGATATTCGTCTTCCTCCCGCTTTAGCGTGCGTGTTATCAGTTAGAATGAAATACTTCGGGCTTTTCGCAAAAAGGTGTACCGTGTACTTCGTCGTTATCGAAACTTATCGTTCCCTCGGCGGTGCTATACGATAAATTAAAAAATCGCAGATATCCCGGACATTGTGAGCGCGTATCGGACACACGCGGACCGCGGTGTGGCATACCGCTGCTGTTGAATGCGCGATTAACGATTTCCTCACACACCGGTTCGCATTCATCGCGAAAAGCTCGACCGAAAAAAAAGTAAATAGGTAAATAAAAAGGAAATAAGTTTTCGACGATGTGCACGATAGATAGAGGGAGTGTGAGAGAAAGAGTGAGAGAGAAAAAGAGTTTTTAACAGTTTCCTGCACGCAGCTGCGACCGGATGCCGCTCCCACACCAGGCCAACGTTTATAACGTTGCACATGCAACCCACGCAATTGTACATGTGCACGAATGTACGAAAATAGTGCCGCGTCCCTGGGCGTTAGTCCTTGAACCCGCGAAAAAAGTCGTCGGATTAATGACATCTCCGCGGGCTGATTTACGCCGCCGCAGAGAATCCGACTGCAGACGCGGCGGCGAGAGAGTCTCGGCGCATCGGTTTTGCTTCGATCGCGATAAACGTGTCCAAAGGAATTAATTACACGGATTATATGGGAATTATATTATAAGTTGAAATCGCTTTATAAGCTTCTTAAACAACAAAAAAAAAAAAAAAAAAAAAAAAAAAAAAAAAAAAAAAAAAAAAAAAAAAAAAAAAAACAGGGATGCGCGTGAATATTTCACTATTATTGTTAATCTTTTACCGTCCATTTTCTATTGCATTCGTTACTATTGTATCTTTTAAAACCTTCATAAAGAATTAAAATGTCAGTCGTTGCAGAGCATTTCATCTTTTTCATTTTTCACAATTTTTCTTTTGTTTTCCAGATTAAATTCTCTCTCCAATGTGCATCAGATTGGCACACACGGTGACGCGTAAAGCGAAATTCACGGGGCGATTTCACGTGGCATATAGCAGCGCGCGTATTAAAGGCACAACACCTTAACCGTGCCTGAATTTACGTCGAATTCTAGCAACCAGCATGAGAACTAGGCACGACACACACACACAAAAACTCCATTATGAGCGTAGAACAGTACACACTTTATACAACCGCGGCACTTTTTCGTGTTGTATCGCAATAAATATTTGGACGGTGGTGTGTACAAGTCCGAAAAGATAAGACGTATGATTTCATATTTTCTCTTCTTCGCAAACGGCGCACCCCGGGTTTTTAGCGCGCCGTAAATCTGCGCGCGAGGATATAAAACAGGCGTTTTCCAGAATTATTCGCAAGAGTTGCGCCCCGCTTCGCCCGCGAAGAGATGCATTTTCTGAAAAATAGTTCGCCAACGCGCCGCGCGGATAATTTTAGCGCCAAAGATACCAAAGTGCAAAGGTACAAATTATATGGACGATATAAAAATTCTCACGTGTGGCGTTAACGCCCCGAATAATTTTATTCTTTAATTAAATTTCGTCACGCACACGTGGTGGGAAATGTAGCGACGCAAAGTAACTTCGAGGATTCCCCCGCGAGCGAAAAATATTCTCTCGCGCAATTTTCATATACCCGTAATAAGATTCATGAGATATTACATGAGAGGTTCCATGTCTGATTTATGATGCCACACGAATGCTGTTACCGCGTAATGCTCCCTCATAATCCTCGCAAAAATAAGATCGCACGTTAGATAGGCGCCGCACTACGCGAGTCTCGTCACGCATATCAGGTCAGATGAATATATGTGTCCTCCATATACGCTGCGCGCGCCAAGTCCAAATATCATGCATTTCGAGCAGTTGAATATGAGGTGGATTGTGCGAGAGTGCAACCACCGCACCGTCTGCATATTTATGTGCGTCTCGTATCAAAGTCGTCTCGCAACCGCAATCATTTCGAGATAATTTGCGTCCGTGATATGTAACTATAGAATCAGATGTATGATTAGAGCGAGCCAATCTCGTCAACGTGAAATATAAATAACGAAACGAGACGTATTATTGGACTATAAATTTTCAGAAGCTGCATTTTCTTTACATATTCTGACATTTTTATATTTCTACAGATTTTGGAAACCTTGCATTTTAGATCTTTATCAATTATAGCACGGTAGAAAAGAAAAACGAATCTTTCCAGCGAAAGGTCCTTTACGATGTCGTAAAGGTGAAAAACGTACCGCTTTCCTTCAGACTCCGTTGCGCGAAAAAAAGCGGGCAGCCTTTCGTCGAGCGCGTAATCTGATAACAAAATAAATCTAAAGTTCACGATGTTAAATACGCCGTTGGTCGTCGCGAAACCCGCCGACACACGTATATATGCGCATACACAACGGAGAGAGGAGGCGATCGATGAAGCGAGTGCACAGTGGCGACCGCGTCGCTGCGTACGGCCCTGAAAGCAGAGAGGAGAGAGAAAGAGAGAGAGAGAGAGGCCGAGAGAGATCTATATGCAGCCGCACTTTATATAGCGCGACGTGCCACGTGCAGGGCAACTCGGTACCTGGGTCACCGGGAGAAGGTCACGGGGTCGCGATTTCAGCCTAGGTGCACGGACTCCGGCGCAGCGCTCTCAAGTGGGCGTGCTGCAGCTGCGAGTCCATGTCTCCGTAGGTGCAACATACTGTGCCGTCAGGATGCGACATGCAAGGTGAATCACCGGCTCAAGAATGCTATTAGATAATTGCACCGTTCGGCGAGTTATCAATTTTGCCATATCTTACCACTTCAACGTACCGAATCTCTCCCGGCTAACGAGATTTGAATTTTCAAAAACGCGAAAAAAAGATTGCTTGAAACTTGTAAAGAAAATAAATAAAATGTTTGAATAAAATATTAAAAACTGAAATTTTTATTAAGAGCAAATAACGAGAAATTGAAATGTTACACGGGAGTAAAAATATACTTTTCCAAACGTGATTTTATCGTCGTCCATCAAATTAATATTTTCTTTCTTACCGTCCCACGTGAATGAATGTCGTAGTTAATAATGACGCTATGAAAAAAAAATCTGATCGTCACATCGTCACTTTGCTCGCAAAGATATTATTATAAAGTACGGTCTTTGTTATTTTAGCTTATTATTTAATCGCGCCTCCGATGTCACCGTAGTAACGCGGATATCGAGTGACCTTTTAATTAAATTTCACCGAGTCAATATTATATCACATAGGCCTTCCGGTTCGTGTCTTCATTACACAATTTTCAAATTACACCTGCGTGGAGTAAACAACGTAATAGTATAAAAATGGATATGCAGTGATGGATTATCGATTTGGTTAACGATCGACCTTCTTCGTAATTTAATTAAATATTCTCGCGCATAATTATTCTCACAGAAGTGGAAAGATAAAAGGTAGTATGT